AACCCGTGGCACCCTGGCATCTCTCTATACCCCAAGTATCTGGAATGTTTGGAAGGAGTCTGATGGAAAATCCACTTCAACTCCTCTCCCCTATCTCATTCCCTAAACCTGCTCTTTCAAAGCCCGCCAAACACAGCTCCTCCCCCAGAGAGGCTCAAGACCAATCCCATAGGGTGTATAAACTGTATCCCTAAAAACAGACACGTTGTTTTTCTGGTCTTGTCTCCATTTCCTTTCTGTGGGGCCGGGGAATAGCCCAGGAGTGGGAGTGCTTTACTCATTAAACCTGGGCTTTTCCTCCTTCATTCTGATTTGGTTTGTCAGGAGACCTAGAACTTATCATTTACTCTGCACATATTTCCCTTTAATACCTGCAGTTTTAGAAGAAAACCCCACATGTTTCTTTTTCTCTATATTATTCGATGAAAACTTGTATGTTCATTTTTTTTAAAAGGTAAGTTGTTTTATCCAAGCACATTCATACTAGAATTAAATATTTCTGGGGATTTATTTATGATGCTTCTCATAGCTGTGTGAGTGTATTCTTTGCAAATGCATGTATCAGTTTCACTATTTACAGTAAATGTTATTTACTATGTTACATAATGTTATTTAGTGTGTTACATATACTACACAGGTAATAATGATCTTTCTAGGAGGAGTTTCATCACATTCTGGTATCTTAAATACTACTATAAAGTAATAAAGGTAACAAAGAAGATAATTTCTAGTACTTCATTAATAATTTTCACCATAAAATTTTCAGAGAAAGTTAAACATCTCAGAGTCCAAACATCTAAACTACCCAATAGGTCAAGAAGGCTGTAGGAAAGGACCAGAACAGGAAAAGAAGAAAAATCTATGTCAAGTAGCCTACCAGGTGACTTAATATAAGGTGATCATTATAACCCAGATAAGTTTATGGTTTCTAATTATTGATGGGATTAAGTGTGTGTGTTGGGTTCATCAAGCATCTCACTGTCTAGATAAAAACCACAGAGTGGACAGTAAGTTTACAAGTCTTCACTTCTTTTCCTGGCCATATCTTTTAGAGCTTTTTTGGTTGTTGTTGGTGGTTGTGTTAGGTTTTCATTTAGGGGAGTTGAGCTGATAGTGTGGATGTGTAGACACAGGTTTACCACAATTTGTTACTTTTCAACTTGCTCTTAACATCAGATAACTGCTTCTGCTTCATGGAGTGCTGGTGGATTTCCTATTTAGAGCAATAACTGTGCCTTATAATCAATATGAGGAAAGTTGATGGCCTTTCCTTGAAATTTTCTGAAGGACAGTTGATAGTTGCCACCTCAGTTTTTTCAGTGTGATAGAGACTTCATGTTCTGTATTTGTTGTAAATGGGGTTTAGAGCCTTTTTCTTTTTCTTTCTCATGAGTGTGGTTGGTAGGAGGTGATTTGATTAGCTTTTCACAAAGAATGTATTTTTCTACTTAGTTTTTCTACATAGTTTATTCTACTTGTTCTCTTCTGTTTCCAAAGACTGAATGAGAATGGAAGATTGATTTATATTCATTTTTTAAATTACTGTAGGAGTATTGTGATTTGATTGAGAAATGAAACCCATAGACTCATGTATTTGGTCCCAGTGGATGGTACTATTTGTGGAGGTTATGGAACCTTGAAGAGGTGGAGCCTTCCTACAGGAAGCATGTCACTGGGGGAGAATTTTAGGAGTTTGTGGCTTTGCCCAGTTCCATTTAACTTTTTATGCTTTCTGCTTGTGGATGGAGAGATATGATCTCTCATCTTCCAGTTTAGGATACCCTTGGACATGTCTCCTCATTATTATGGATGCTAAAATGCCCTGTTTGAGTTACTGTCCTGACTGCCTTTGAAAATGAACAGTGATATGTAAGTGTAAGCCAAAGAAACCTGTTGTTCCCCAAGTTTCTTTGATCATGGTGTTTAATCATAGCAATAATAACTCAAACTAGGATAATAAAGGAATATTTAGTAGAAGCAAAGTTTCTGCAATAGTAAAATGTACGTAAAATAAAATTATCAATTAATAAAAAGAGGAAAAGAAAATTGATATTCCATGTGTAATTCCAACAGCAGCTAACAACTTAATTTTACAGTTTCTTGTTTCTCTTACATATGTATGAAATTGCAGTCATTACAAGTTTTCATATACTATGTTAAGAGCATCCTTTAATAGCAAATGTTTTGTGTACATGGTTTTAAATTACTGTGCAACAGTTCATCAAGTGACTATATCTAAACGTTACTTGATATCCTACTTGTTAAGTATTTAGGTTTCCTGCATTTTTTTACTTAAAAATTCTGAAAGGTCTCCATAGGTTTTGGGAGACCCTATAAAATTTCTTTCCTCCATGTGAACATGTCCGTTGTTCAGCTCTTCTTTATGTAGCCATTTCTAGGAAAGACTATTTGATATCGGACTTCCAGGTATTCTGGCTCTTAAAATCATTGTGCTTCTTCTGGGTTGTTCCCTGAGTCATATATACAGAAACTGTAATGCATAGGGATCTGTTGGAGCTGGGCTTCCCATGATCATTTGATCTGTGTGTCCAGTTGTGGCTTTCTGCAACAGTCTCTATTTGCTATAAGAGAGCTACAGGCATCTAATGACTGCTGGGAAAAGGATAATTAGCTTTTCTCAAAGATAAACCCTCTTACTGGTTGTCCATTCTGGAATGGTCAGCCTTGAAACTATGTACACACCACCAGCAAAGAAGAACTCAACAAGTTTATATATATATATACATATATATATGTATATATATGTACGTGTGCATGTATGTATATATATATATTTGTGTATACACATGTGTACATATATATATGTGTGTATGTACATATATATATATATATATATATATATATATATATATATATGGTAATAATACCCAAAGAAAAAGAGGCTATCAACTTGAGAGTCAGGAGGACATGAGAGAAATTAGAAGGATGGAAGTTGTGAGGGGCTAGAACAAGAGAAGGAAGGGAGAAAAGTGATGTAATCTTACTTCAGTTAAAAACATATTTTAAAGAGTCTAAAAGGGGGGCTGGAGAGATGGCTCAGAAGTTAAGAGCACTGGCTGTTCTTCCAGAGGTCCTGAGTTCAATTCCCAGCAACCACTTGGTGGCTCACAACCATCTGTAATGAGATCTGGTGACCTCTTCTGGCCTGCAGGGATACAAGCAAGCAGAACACTGTATACATAATAAATAAATAAATCTTTTTTAAAAAGAGCCTAAAAGGATTGCATATATTCCAAATTGACCATATTTGATAATCTCAACAAGCGAGAGAGATACGTGGTCAATGGCAAAGAGCCTTGTTTAAACTCTTAATGCAGATTGCAAGTTGTCCTTGAAAAAGGCAATAGCAGTTTGTTCTGTCACAGTAATATTTAACAATACTCCTCCCATTCTGGTATTGTTAAAAAAAATTGCCAACTATTGATTTTACTTATTTTTATTTTACTGTTAGTGACGTTTCACTACTTCTCATCAGCTGTTCATACTTTTTTTTATGAAATATTTTTTGTCTGTTTCTCCACTTGGATGTTACTATCTCATTAGACTATTAACACTGTAAAGCCAAAGCCAAAAATTTCTGTTTCTTTTTGCATCCTTGTTTGGTAAGTTTCCTTGCCTCTGATAGTATTTTTCTTAGTCCAGCTTCCTTTGGATTCTATTTTCTTGTTCATGAGTCAGTAGCTCATGACAGTAACTCTTCTCCTGTCTTCCTTTAGACCCGTTAATTCCAGTCCCCACCTCTATCGGATCGGTAGCTCTGAGAAATCAGGTTCTACTCTGCAACCATCATTGCCATGGACCTTAGCTCCACCTGAGACAAAAGGAAGATGATCTCAAAAACTCCCTCCAGTTGTCTAGGACTCTGGACATTAAACACTGTCTCTGTGCACTTATACCTTCCTTTGTGTTGAATGATCTTGTATCTCTAAAATATGAAGAAAAAGGACTATGGCTCAATTCTCTACCTCCAGAGTAGTTCCAAGCCATGATGCTTACTTCCTTATACACACTCATAATTCTTAGTTCAGATAACAAGGGGCTTGACTTCAGCATCTGGCTCTTTCTAAGGGAACAGATTATATGACCCAACTCTTCTCTATTGGCGAAATTATTAAGGCCACTCCACATAGTTAAAAGGGACGTTTATCTTGTGGGGTAACTCACAAATGAAGGGATAGGTAACAGGGTCTGGGAAAGGTGTAGCGCAGTCCGGCAGTGTTCTCTGGAGAACTCTGCTCGGTCTACCTCCAGGGTCCAGGAACCAAGAGAGCCTGCACATCCGGATCTCGGGTCTTCAGGGTCCTTTCTTGGTCCCGCCTTGTAGGCTTGACAGTTACCGAAGCCTCAATGGGGGTTGGAACTTCCAGATCAAAGCTGGAATGGCTACCCACTGCATCTCCCCCTTTTGTCTAAATAAGAAGGTTCTAACCTAATATAAGACTATATACAAAGGAATGGTTATCAAATATTGTCCAGGAGTAATGAGGGATAATGACCTAGATAAGATGGAACTGCCGTCAATGTGAACAATATCAAGCAGAAAACACATACTAAAATTCAGGGAAGTCTAGAGTGTAGGTAAATGGCGTGTTACAAAGATCATTCCAAAAAGTGTCCTATCCTAAAGAACCTGAATCTGATACTTATTATGTTCTATCTAAGATATTATATATATACTAAGTTGTAACTATAACTGCTAGTCTTCAATCCCATCAAAGACCTGAGAAGGAATATAATGGTACCTGAGAAATGGAAGATGGATACAAGCAACTTTCAGGAATCTTGCAAGAGTAGACAGAGAGAGCTGGCAGCCTGGACAGTCACCTAATGTTTCTCAGCCTTGTTGGTGCATTCAAATTGGCTACAGGCCTAGAGTATCTGGACTCTGGAGACTCAGTTCTGTGACTGGGGGACAGAGGAGTCCTCAGAGTACATTACAAGAAGGCGTCACACCATTCTCAAAGTCACCCAAAGCAGTCTCAGGACTGCTTGGCATTGCCACCACATGTGTCTTTCAGCCACTCTCGGAAGAGATCTTCATCTTTTTTTAGCACCAGAAACTGGCCAAGAACCACATAAGCCTTGTCATAGCCCCTTTCCTCCAACTTCTTGCCTAGGACTTCACCAATCCCAGCCAGGCTCCCCACTGGCTTTTCCCCCATGGGCTCTGCCATGAAGTCTCGGTGCTTTTGGGAGGTTGTCATCTTGATCAGGTTTAACCAGCAACTCTGGCTCTGTTAACGGCTCCTTGTGTCACTCAGCTGCTCCTGCAGATCTGGCTAGCTCAGTCGGTAGAGCATGAGACACTCAATCTGAGGGTCGTGGGTTCATGCCCCACTTTGGGCACCAGATATTGATGAAATTATTAAGGCCATTCTACATAGTTAAAAGGGAAGTTTATTTTGTGGGGTAACTCACAAATGAAGGGATAGATAACAGGGTCTGGGAAAGGTGTAGCGCAGTCTGGCAGTGTTCTCTGGAGAACTCTGCTCGGTCTACCTCCAGTGTCCAGGGTCCAGGAACCAAGAGAGCCTGCACATCCAGATCTTGGGTCTTCAGGGTCCTCTCTTAGCCCTGCCTTGTAGGCGTGACAGTTACCGAAGTGTCAATGGGGGTTGGAACTTCCTGATCAAAGCTGGAAGGGCTACCCACTGCACTTCCCCGTCACTGTCACTCTTATCACTGTTAATGCATGAAAAGTAGGAGCTCTTCAAGACTTTCCTGTTTTGTTTTGTTTTGCTTATGTGATTTCCTTACCTGACTTAATATATAACATATTTCTTAGTCTTTTGTATGCAAGCTAGAGGGGGAGTGGCTGGAAGATAACATTTAAATGTTTTAATGGAAATTCTGTTATTTTATTGAAATAGAAAAATTTGCTTTGCATATTCTAGAAAGTGTTCAGCCTGTCAAAATCTTTTTGAACTTTGAAATAATGCCATGGATGAGGCATTCATAGAGAATTGATAATAGCTAAGTAAATCAAGATTGGCAGCCTGTGGCAGGAGGGGATAAAAAGAGGTCAGCACACTAATAGACGAAATCCAGTAGCCAGTAATAAGAAGCAGGGTTTCAGATTTGCACTGAGCTCTGCAAATCACTTTGTATTTGTTATTTTTGATATTAGCTATTTGAGTTCACATATTTTTGTATATGCTGAGTGACATTTGAAATCAAGCATTCTGTAAGAATGTGGAGAATGTGCTTTTATGTCTGAGATTCCAATTGCTATTTAGAGCATCTGGGTTGATGTTACCTGTCAGTGGCCTGTGTAAAGTCACTTGCATTCTTGATGACATCTGCTTTTTTTTAAAAAACGTAGACAAAGTGATATGCATATAAAAGAATAATATTTGACAATAATTGAGAAAAACAATATTTTCAGAATTGTTCTCCAAGCCATTTTAGAACAAGCTGAGTTTATGAATATTCCATTTTCATCTAGAAAATCTGTAGCAGACAGCAGGGCTAAGCCTCTATCTAATTCATCTCTTCTTTGTCTGAATTTTTATAACAGGGAAGTGGGCTGTTCAACCCTCCATTTAGTACCCAGTATAGACATTTAAGCCAAATAGCAGTAAAGAGCAGAGGTACACGCAGACAGTTTCAGAGCAACGTTCCCTAATTCACATGTTCAACACCAGCTTAGTGTGAGCACATTGGTACATTTAAGATGCTTATTGTTATGTGATGTCATATTTTTTCATGCTTTGGCATTGCATCAAAATGAAGATTTTTGCACTCATATGTATCTGTAATCCTTTCAAGAGAGTTTATAACCACTAGATTCTCAGACTATCTTAGTCATTAACTCAACTGAGTACCAGCAAAGCCATAATCCCTCTTGAATAGAAACTCCATGTCATTGTTCAGAGGAACTCTGAGCAGTGGTGCTGCTGTAGATTTCTCAAGGGAGCCCATTTGGCCACAGGTTTCAGTGGATGAAGATACTCCTTCATTCTTCTGGATAATGCTCTATAACTTTGTAGTTTTCCTTCAGAAGTTTGTGTTTTAACATCTAAGATTAGTTGTCTTCAGCATTCGGTCAGCATTATCTTAGATGAGTAGTTTTTGCCTCACAATTTTTCTGCCTAAATTTAGAGTTAAAATTTTCAAGTCTTAAGTTCCAAGAGCAAATAATCACATTTCCTTGATTCCCAAAGTATTATGAAGTTTTATATTTACTCAGATGTTGCTCCTGAGTCCGTTCAATGATTTCTACTATTTATCTATCACATTTATTCAATAGTGAATTAAATCATTAGAATTCTATTTCAAAAGACATTCTTGTTCTTTATTTTTATGGGTGAGATCTTTTATTGTTGTTGTTAAATGGAGAACTTTATTTAATCTTTCTTGCAACATACATCATCTGCTGACATATATTCTTTATTTAGTTTGAAAGAAATCATGTATACCCTAGTTAGCAGTTATAAGAGGCACTGGTCTCCCTCACTATATTTAAATATTTTCTATTCCTTAGTCATAAAACTAAAGATATAATGCTCATGAGAAGAATAAAATAAAATCTTCAACACTATGAATAGGTAAGATAGTCATTGATCATCTGTCTATTATTGATTTCACTATAGAATTCAATTATTTTATATAGATTGTCATCAAAATATTGACCAAAGGCCATGTTTTGATATGACACAACATAAAACATATTAACGACAAAATCTCTTTACTTTAAACTTTGTTTGGGTTAAAGAATGTAACTTCATTTGTGAGTTACCTGTAGCTAATTGTACAGGGCTGAGTCCTCATGCAATTTATATTCGCTTTACCATGTGTATTGTTGTCTTTTTCCCTAGGAAAAGGCACACTTGTTTGTTATCCATCATCACATTATCAGCCCTGAAAACATACATGCTAGTAACCCTATACTGACTAAGCAGGTTATATTTAGGAATATATATGTATATACATATACATTTATTCATATAACAAGAATTAATGGAAAAAGAGGCCATAATTTGAAAGAGAGAAAGGAGGCATATACAGGAAGGTTCAGAGGGAGGAAAGAGAAAGAGAAAGGGTGTTATTATATTGTAATCTCAAAATTAAAAAGAAGGAAAAAATGAATGAATTTTTTTTTATTGAAAATAGATTCTTCTCTTGTATGATACATCTTGGCCACAGTTTCTCCTCCCTCCACTCCCCCTAACTCCCCTCTCCCCCACCTTTCCCCAGATTCATTCCCCCTCTGTTTCCTCTTCAGAAAAGAGCAGGCCCCCAAAGAGACTACAGCCAAACAGGACAAAACATAAAACAAGACAAGCCTTCCTATTTGAGACTGGACAAGGCATCCCAGTAGGAGGAAAAGAGTTTGAAGAAAAGGCAAAAGAGTCAGAGATACACCTGCTCTCACAGTTAGGAGTCCCACAAAAGCCCCCAGCTACCAGCTATAACACAGATGCAGAGAATCTGGTGCAGGCCCCATGCTTGCTACTTCAGTGTCTGTAAATCGTGTGAACCCTGCTTAGTTCATTCAGTGGGCCACATTCTTCATCTTCTCTGACTCCTACAATCTTTCCTTCCTCTCTTCTGTGGGGTTCCATGATTTCTGAGGGGAGGGATGCAATGGAAACCTCCATTCAGACTTTCTCTCTGCATAATGTCTAGTTGTGGTCTCTGCACCACTCCCATCTGCTGCCCGAGGAAGCCTCTGATGATGACTGGACAAGGCACACATCTTACAGCAGTGTATAGCAGAATCTCATTAGGAATCATCTCATTTCTTTTCTTTTTTCAGAACTGTTGCATTTGGTTCTACCCTAGGTCTCTGGGCTATCCAGTCTCCAGTTCCTGGCCATCCAGGCAGTATAGGACATGGTCTTCCTCTCATGGTATGGACCACAAGTTAAACCAAACATTGGTTGGCCACTCCCACAAGCTCAGTGCCACCATTGTCCCAGCACATCTTACAGGCAAGACTGATTGTAGGTGGAGGGTTTTGTAGCTGAGTTGGTGTCCAGGCTTCTCTTTCCATAGTCTGCAAAGTACCTTCTGTGCTAAAGAGACTAGAACTTAGGGGTGAAGGATCCATGCAGGTACCAGCTTGACCTCTCTATGTTTAATGAACTATATGGATGTTGTCCTCCCCGATAGAGCCCTACTGTCAATTTTCAGAGACTGGCCTGCCCTAGCACCAGCCTGGTTTGTTTAGTCTCCACAGGGCCTCCTTGGCCAATATCTCAACTGAATGTAACCCAATCCTACCACTGGAAGCCTTGCCTGGCTACAAAAGATGGCCAGTTCAGAATCTTTATTCTCTATTGCTAGGAGTCCTTACCAGGGTCACCCTCATAGATTCCAGGAAGTTTCCACCACAACGGTTTTCCACCACCGATCCACAGTGCTCCCCAGTTTCAGCTGTTTCTTCCTGCATTCTCTTCCTTCACCCCTACTAACCCTCCCAGCTCTGGTCTCTACCAGCCCCCAGTCCACCTGCAAAATTTATTGTGTTTCCCCTTCCCAGAGAGGTCCATGCATTACTCTCTAGAGCCTTCCTCTTTGCCCAACCTCTCTGGGTCTGTGAATTATAGCTTGATTATCATTTACTTAACAGCTAATGTCCACTTATGTTATGATTAATCCACATGATTCTATTTAATGGGTAAGAGGGATTTATTAAGATATAAGTTGAGGAAATACACTCACAAATACAGAACCGAGTAAACAGCTGAAGTTGTACTCTGTTCTGTCTGGGAACGAATGCCCCTAGCCATCTGATCACGCCAAGAAGAAGAAGAAGTGTGCGACCCTTTTCTTTTAAGAGGTTTGGGAGGCATCTAGGCTCGTTGCATGAGTTAGCTGTTTGAAACCTGGGACTTATGCAGGGACGCTTGGCTCAATCTGGGAGGAGGGGACTGGACCTGCCTAGACTGAGTCTATCAGGTTGATCCCAGTCTCCTTGGGGGAGACCTTGATCTGGAGGGGGGGATGGGGGGTGGGTTTGGGGGAAGGGGAGGGGGGCAGGAAGGGAGAGAACAAGGGAATCTGTGGCTATTATGTACAACTGAATAGTATTGTAAAAAAAAAAAAAAGAGGTCATTAATGAAAGCAAGAAGCACCACCTCTTTCTTCTGGGCCATATAGCCCAAAGTCATGGGCAGAGCAAATACCACTACATACTTATAAGTGAACACATACCGTATTTGTCTTTCTGGGTCTGGGTTACCTCATTCAGGATCAGTTTTTCTAGTTGCATCCATTTGCCTGCAAATGAGTATTTATGTAAGCACTAGTCAAGTACTGCCTTCTGTCCTAGAAATATATAGATGAGTA